TCCATCGTTGTCAGTATGGCCTGTCTATGCACTCGCAAAGCCATAAGCAGCCCCCAGATAGATATGTCAGCTTGAATCTTCTTCAACTGTTTCAGTACAGCCTCTTCCTCTAACTATTTTTCCTTCTGTTTCTCTATCTCTTTGTCTTTCCCAGATGCCTCGGGTTGGTCCAGATGCGGAGGTTTGAAATATTGGCCACTTCTTGTCATGTGGTTGACTTCCTCCACATACCAAGTATTGTTTGGAAGGCCTTCACCCCAATCCTCATCAGTGTGGGCAAGATGCAAATCATCATCTTCCCACCACATACCTTTGGCAACCGACAAGCAATTGTCCAGTTCCGGTCTAAGTGTTCCCTCAGCAGAAACATTCCCCATGGGGCGTTAAGCTATTCCAGCTTTCTGATCACTTTCACTCATTTCTTGTCCAAACTACTCCAGCACGGCTTCTTGTTCTGTATGTACAGTGCTAACAATGCCCAGTTCCTGAGCCAATTATTCTTTACCAGTGCTACCCGGTAGTTTACCCTTCCTCTCAGCCGTTCTGGCCATTGCTGTGGTTCCCGCTTTCTGTTCTTCAAGCTTCGATTCAGTTCCCTCATCTATATCTGGTTCATCACTTAGCCACCCAAAATTGTCTGTTGACACATTCAGATCAAACCAATTAATATGCACGTCTCCTTGATCTTTCTCATCGAAGAAGTGCAAATTATCCACATCCTCCTCCAAGTCGGCTAGATCATCTAATCCCTAGCTTGGCCCATCTTCTTGGACTACACTGACCTCCATCCCAGTTGGCAAGACCACTTCCGGCTTAACCTGGTTGATTGGCACAATATAGCAGCTCGGGTTGTACACCCCCTCAAATAAGTCCTCAAAGCCCTCGAGCAATGGACTAACATTCTCCACCAAGGTTGACTTCCCTTCATCTTCCACTGTCACTACCACGGGTTCAGTTTGGATTGTTGATGTGTTCATCATGCACAAGCCTATGCTCTCATGGATGAACAACGCTGGTTTAGGTAGGTGGGCAGGGGTGATATATATACTGGGGTCATAAGGGACGGCCAGTATGTGGATGAGGTTTATTTACCGGGGTGGAGGGGTTTGGTTATGTGGTGGGAGAGGATTTGTAGTGACGTTGGGTTTTTTAGGACGTGTTATCACCTTATTGTCAATGAGATCTTGAATCTCATGACGCAGTCTATAGCACTGATCAGTGTCATGACCATGCCGTTGGTGAAAAGCGCAGTATTTGGCCGAGTTATGTTTAGGTGGGAGAGGATCAGGCAGTGGGCGTTGTTCTAACGGTTTAAGATGCCCTTTTTTGATTTGGACCCCCAAGGTTGCAAATAAGGTCATATAGAGCAGGGTGAAGACCCTCTAGCCCCGGGTCCGATGGCTTGAGGTTTGTGAGGTTATGTTGGATGTACCAGCAAAGGAGTAGGCAGTCTTGGGTGTGGTGGTTACCATTATCGCATCCGAAGGCCATGCAGCTGCGCTACCGCTAGTAGTCGCATTAGAACTGCGTGTGAAAGCCCTCTTGGGCTGCTCTTTCTCATCATTTATCAACCCTTGTCTCATTGCATCCTCAATGTGAACTCATATCTCATGGAGATTAGTGAAAGTGAACAAGGGCAAGACAATCATTTTTTGCAGCAATTTCCCCTGCAGGTTGCGGATGATCATTTTGATCTGATCTTTTTCGGATGGCCGGGTAGTCATCATAGAAGCCTTAGCCCTCCATCGAGTCACAAAGTCCGAGAAACCCTCATTTGGTTCTTGGCGGGTTGCTTTCAAGATCACGGGTAGTGACCTCGATCTGAGTATTGTAGGAGTACTGCACTACAAAGGCCTCGGCCATTTCATCACAATTCCTCTTTACAGAGCCAGCTTGGCATACCAAATGGCCGCTATACCCGACAGGGTCCAACCAAAAAGCAATAGTTTCTGTAGTCTGGAAAGACCCATTGGTCGTAGGATATCTGAAAATAACTGTAAATGGAGCATAGGATCCCCGGAACCATCAAATCGGTCTATGTGCGACATCTTAAATCTGTCTGGCAAAGTCACTGCCGAGTTAGTATAGCCATCCTCAATATCAGGGATTGAATTCATGCTCTGCGCCCGTTTGAAAAGCTTTTCTAGCTTGCTAACCTTCAATGCAGTAGGGTCAACCTCGAATTCAAACGGCGCCTCTGTTTGATAAACCGGTGCCTTGGAGGTCTGAGGTGGGATTGGATCTACCTGAATGCCTGCATTTTCCTGGACATTAATTGTGACCCCGGGTGCCGGAATTCCCGCTGGGGGTGCATGGGATGCAGAGGCTATTGTCGGTCGATTTTGTTGTTGCTGAAGCCTATCTATCAATTCTGCTTGGCGGACTGCGATCTCAGCTTAGCGGGCTGTGACCTCAGCTTAGCGGGCAGCGTCTAATTAATTAAATTACAACACCAATGCGAATAAACTAAGCATGTAAAACATTAAACAATGTTGCCACTACTCCACCTCAGGAAGTGGAAAATGTATACGCTCGATTCTCGCTCGGGAAGAACACCATTTTGCTCTTGAGAGTCTCTGTTTGCTGGGTTAAGCATACTTCAGAATCTTTCTACTTCACCTTACCAAGTGTTCTCTGAGGCTTGCATTAGTGGCCTGCCAGCCATGGATGGTTTCTGCCGGCCATCTGTCGGCCAAATATGTGTACTGCCAGCCAGAAATGATGCACTGCCGGCCACTGATGGTGCATTGCCAGCCACTGATACATGGGATCACCATACTGCAACAAAGCACAAACAGAGCAAAAAATGGGTTTTTCCAAGGGTTTGTTTGTATTGTAGCCCTCCTTATCATCTCAAAATCTCAAAGGAGTGACACACTTGGATCCAAACCACCAATCAAGCAATTTCATTGCATGATGGCTAAAGATCCGAGTTTTACAATTTCGATAAATGTACAAATAAGACTCGAATGACCACTACCCTATCATGCATGATCAAGGGCAATGGAGACCAAGGAAAATGACACATTTTATCACTTTTGAGTATGAAATGTTCTATTTTCTTTGTATTCAAACTAACGTCCAGTTTGAACAAATGTAATGCAACACAAAGAGATGCTTATCTTGCATCTTTTACTTGTCAATTTTGTTTACTCTTTTTAATTACCAAATCATCATTTAACCATTTAGTCCATTGGTGAGTGTCCTCTAAATGGAAAGAAAGCTCAAACCAAAGGTTGTTTTAGGCATGAAAGAGACCTCATGCTGTTGGTAATGAACCCCAAAAGGGATTAAACCATTAAGTACAAACATCTCAATTTCATGCTTTAAACAAGCAATTGGTTTAAACCACTTTCAAAACAAAAATAAAACCAAGAAAGGGAGAAGGTTGCAGATATGATTAGGTGCTGAAAATGAGTACTAAAAGCACTAAAACATGCAACCAACTCAAACCAATGATGTTTAAAGCTTTAAAACAACAAGCTAGTGCAAGGAACTTACACTACAACTATGCAAAACAAAGTTCAAATGAACCAAACAGCCCAAAACAGAGCTAAAGCAGGCTATTTTAGAGGCTAAAACAAGCTGGTCTTAAGCTAAGTTAAGCTAGAAAAACATGCTAACATGTAAAGCTAACTAAGCATGCAAGAAAGACATAAAGGGGAAGTCTAATCCCTCCAATTTTGGACTTCAAAATAAGATTTTTACCACTGAAAAACCTCTGAAATTCAGTGGTCACTACAACAAATTTGAGATTTAAAGACGAAACAAATTTGTCCCAAAATGTATATATTTCGTCACCCAAACTAATTACGACGAACATTTTTCGTCACCCATTTTGTCTCCAAAGGGTCGTCGCTAAAGAGTCTTAGAGACAAAAAAAAAAAATCGTCATTGAAAATGATAAATTTGTGACGAATTTTTTTGTCTCCAATACACTTCTGTTAGGAACATACTTGGAAGTAATTAGCGACAAAATATTTTGTCATTAAAGGAGAAATTAGAGACAAAAGTATTTTGTCATAAATATAAGAAATGGAGACAAAATAATTTTGTCACGTTTAATATAAACGAAGACGAAAATTTTTTGTCAAAGAAGCTACCAATAGAGACAAAAACAAATTCATCATTAAAAATGATAAATTTGTGATGAATTTTTTTGTCTCTAATACACTCTGTTAGGAACATACTAGGAAGTAATTAGCGACAAAATATTTTGTCATTAAAGAAGAAATTAGAGACAAAAGTATTTTGTCATAAATATAAGAAATAGAGACGAAATAATTTTGTCATGTTTAATATAAACGAAGACAAAAAAAATTTGTCAAAGAAACTACCAACCGAGACAAAAACAAATTCATCATTAAAAATGATAAATTTGTGATGAATTTTTGTCTCCAATATACTCTGTTGGGAACATACTTATAAGTAATTAGCGACAAAATATTTTGTCATTAAAGGAGAAATTAGAGACAAAAGTATTTTGTCATAAATATAAGAAATGGAGACAAAATAATTTTGTCACGTTTAATATAAACGAAGACGAAAATTTTTTGTCAAAGAAACTACCAATAGAGATAAAAACAAATTCATCATTAAAAATGATGAAATAATGTCAAAAAAAATTCGTTAGTGACAAAATGTGACAATATTTTTTGTCATGACAAATTCATTTAGCGACGAAATAAAGAATTTATGACAAAATTAATCATCCACTTAAACCAAATAAGAGACAAAAAAAACCTTCTTTAGGGATGAAAAATTTTGTCAATAATTTCATAATATTTTTTTCCACATTATATACTTATTTTATCAAAATCTAAATTTTAGTTCAACAAATATGACCATGTTCATGTTGAAACCTGTTGAATATAACAATTCCATCACAACTTAACCTAACCTGTTATCAATACATTTACGAATTAACAAAATGAAAATATCCATTTATCATTACAAATAATTTCATCCTGATATAATAAAATAGTGAAATATCCACAAAATATCCAAAAGTTATAACTTATTCAATTCCACCAAAAATCCAATAATAACTAGTGTAACTCCAAAAAGTATGTGTATCCTTATCAAACAAAAATGAACATTCAAACAAATTACATCATTGTTGCACGTCAAAAATGCCACCCCAATCCAATCTGCAAAAAAATAAATTAAAAGTTTTAGTAATTAATCAACATACTTCCACCTACGAATCTGGTAAACGAGTTCGCACTTCTACACCAATCTTTGAGGCTAGTTTTGCGGCATAGTCCCCTACCGGTGCACGAAATTCTGGAGGGATAGGCACGCTAAGCTTTCCATCTCTATCAACAAGGCCTTGAACCTCTTTGCCTCGAGTTGGGCCACGAGCACCCTTAGCAGCTGATATTGTGAAGCCATAATATTGAAATAGTATGTGAACAAATTTAATTAAGATCTCAAATCAATGTAAATAAAGAGTGTCTTACCAATAGTATTACCAGCAGTCACCTCAGGACGTGAAGAGGTATCCCCCTCTTCTAATGCGTGGGTCAATGCCTCATGATGAGATTGTGAACGGGCTCTCGATGGTATCTCTAACAGCTGAATAACATAATAAAATATGAATATATGTACAAAGATATACATGTCTATGTGTGTATGAATTGAAAGTAACAAGAAAGAATATATTTCACAATGCATAAATGTATAGTACCTCATGCTCAAACGAATCATAGGTTTCAGTGTCACTGCCATCTTCAGCCTCTGACGGTCGATAATCATCATCATTTTCCTCAATTGGTATTTGTTTTTCCTTCCTCAATTTCTTATGTTGAACCGTAGCCTTCAAACAAGTTGTTATATTCTTCACTCCTAGAGCATTCATTCTCTCACGGTTTTCATTAATTGTCTTCATTCTTTGTTTCTCGTAGTTCGTTACCTTCTTAGTTGCGGTACTTGGTTTGGTCAATTGCTTTTTTGTAGCGTCCATTTTGCCCAACTATAAAGCATAATTGAACATTTTTTTGGTGGATACGCATAATTGAACATTAGATGTAAAGAAAAGATAATTATATATTTCTATACATAAAGCATAAAGCAACAACAATCTCAACAAGTGGATATGTCATATAGGCTCTAAATCATTGAAATATGGCTAGAGTTCAACGGTAGGAGTGATGACTTTGACCAAAACAAACTGTTGAGCTAAAATTACCAAGAAGTGGCATATAATTACCTTTAGAAGCATGGACTAGAATAACAATTAAAGATTTCTCCTTTTCCAATTCAAAAAGTGTGTTTAAGCAAAAATACAAAAGAATCAAGTTCCAACATTTCAATTGACGATGATGAGAGGGAAAAAAAACTTAAAATTAAGAGAGAGCTAAATTTACCTGTCTGGAAAAGCAGCAGAGTTGAAAAGGCACACATGACTGACCTCTTTCAAATTTACATTGCTATAGAGTAATTTCTTGTTATTACTGTAAATGACAGTTGGCCTATCTGATGCAGCAAATTCATGTGTTATATTCTTTGATGAGAAAGTGCGGAGTGTTATAGGCTGGGTCCCAAGGGGCAAGATAAAGGACAACCTGTGTTTCTAGCTCGGTCAAATGGGCTTGTTTTCTTCTTCTAGAGTGTCTAGCTGATTCTCTATTAGAAAGCATTCTGAAAAACAGACTAAATCTCTTACAAATAAGATTGACAGAACTTTTAAGTAGCAAGTTGTCTTTCCATCAATTATTAAAGGGGAATTTCTATTCAAAAAATTTGTAAGCAATTTTCCTGACCTTTTATGTATAGCATGAATTACATCGGCGCAAAATATATATATATATATTCCCAGAGAAAATTACCTTTAATTATTTGATATAAAATAGGATAAGTGGAATTTATCTATACCAACTACAAATGATATGTGCACTTCCTCGCAAAGATATAAAACAAGATTGTCACACATCTGCAAGAATCAAATTTCAAGATAAACTTTAACCATAAGTAGCTAACAGTTGAAACACAATTACCTCCTGACACATTTTGCATCGGTAGGTTCCATGTTATTCGTTTCTGTTTCTCCTTCAGCTTCATCATCATCTGACTGTTCTCTTGATGATCCACTTGTCGTTGACTTCACCTGGACCACAGATTTCTTTTCCATGACTGGCAAAGAAGGAATTCCAAGGGGTCCAATAACATCCTTATATCTGGTAGACCATACCCAGATCCTACAAAAGTGACAATCAAAATTGGATGACAACATTCAATACTTGCTATGCTATCTAATGACATAGCTGCAACCTATAAAGAGTATTCCAGGAAGAGAAGCAAAGAGAATGTACACATGATTAAAGACTCGGCTAAAAGGTGATCAAAAAGAAAATAGGCTTAAATTCAAATGCTAGCATAACAAATTATGAATCATTATCTTTATCTTCATTGCCACCAATCATTGTCAATTCCTTCTTTCCTATCCACAATGCAAATCTTGATTAGCCTTCCTAGTCTACTGTTTACAACAAATTCATACTGCTAGCAGCTTTAGCTCAGCTAACTATAAAAGCTGAAAGTAGAGTCTAACACTATGGCATCAACATAAGACTCCATATAACTTACTTTAGTCTGTTAAATTGATAAATGGGACTATAAAAGTCAAACCAAAGAAATCCTTACGGCATGAAGTAGATGCTTCCAATCCTCTATTAACCAAAATATCTTGTATGCAAATCATACTCACATGTATGTTTACGCATGCATAGACAGTCTAATTATTAGGTGTAAATTGATGTTAAAATGATATTAAAAAGAACATTATTACTCTTGCTCTACTAGAAGCAATCCAACTCCCTTTGATTCTTGCTACATGGATGCAATATATTAAGAAGTGAACATGAAAATCATTTAATAATGTTTTTGACCATGGAAAAGATTAGGAGTGACTCACCAACACCCTTACAAACACACCCGATATGTATGCATATGCTCAAAGCATATAATAATAATAATAATAATAATAATAATAATAATAATAATAATAATAAATAAATAAATAAAATATTTAAACAGTAGGAGATACTAACCTTCACCAAGCGCTTGCATTCCCAATTGTCCGGTACTGGACGCCTGTGATCCATTGTCCGCTACAATAGATGAAGACATGACTACAAATAAAAAAAATTAGGATAGTATATTTTAAATGTACAATGATTAGTCTCAATTTTTGTTCAGCATTCTGAAGGCTGGTGCAGTCAACCTCAGATGCAAGCACAAGTTGCATTTAAATTGATGATTTGGAAGGGAAGGCTTGCACATGATTTCTTACATGATTCTAGCTTGGATTTGAATCCCAGGTAGACAAATGAAGAATGCGAGGGCTCAATATTGGTGAATATGAAATATCAATGAAAACAGAGTCATTTGAAATCTGTCCCATCAACCCCAATATCCTACTTCCAAATCCATAATGTAAAGCTATCTATTTTCTTCCGTCCCCCATCTCAGATCATAAACTAGTATTAATGAATTCTAGATAAGTCCTTGCTCTCCAGAGTCATTCAGGCACAGGATGGAAGAAGGCACAGAAGCTGTTAGATGCAGGAACACTGTGCTACTATAAAGTTCCAAATTAATCCATCACATTTGCTTCCAGCAATGTCCTAGATAGCAATTTTTTACTATCTAATATGGAGATTTTTTCCACTTGAAATAGCAAATCTAGAAAGTTTAGTAGAAAAAAATTAAAAGTAAACACAACAATAAGATTTTTTTTTTTTTTTTTTTTTTTGCAAGATCAACGAGCAGCTGTTACAATCAGCATCAATGATCGTCTACTGAAAACCATTCATGCATCATATACAAAATCACTATTGTTGCCACTAAAGGGGGAATAAATGTAAAGTTAATATCTTGACCAAAAACTTTCATATATTTTTGGAGAAGAATAGGGGGGGAAAAAAGAAGAAAGATTTAAAAATGGGGAGAGGTTGAAGAAATGCCATTAATTCTCCATGTCCAAAATGTAAAAAGAATACTAATGCTTTCAGCAACAAAATAGATATACCAGCAGTGCTGACAATGTCTATTTGCCACAACCACTGGTCCCACACAACAGCACAGTTACAGATTCCTTCCTTTCCCAAATTCTGAAACAAGAAAACAAATTCTCAGAGTTCAAAATGGAAAAATGATTGATTGAGGTGCGCATTACATGAAAACCAGGGGCAATACTTCAAGCTAAAAGCCACAAGTTCCCTTATAGCTTGAAGTAAATAGGAAAGAACCTTCCCCACTCCAGCTTGATGCAGCTTCCCTAGTCATTGCAAACCAATAATGTAAGTGCACAAATCATCTACCTTCAAAAATTGAAACAAAAACAGCAAACCAGCACCAAAAACACACTAACCTATTCAAGAACCACATACAATAATATGGATGTCTAAATAGGTCCAAACAGGGCATATAAACCACCTGGGAAATGGAAACTCAACCAATGCTGTTACAAACAAAAACAATAATCGTCCCAGCCATCACAAAAGAACCCCATGTACAGCTCACATGGGAGAGCAAAATCAAAATAAATTTGGGAAATGGAAACTCAACCAATGTTGTTATAAACAAAAACAATAATCATCCAAGCCATCACAAAAGAAGCCCATGTACAGCTCACATGGGAGAGCAAATCAAAATAAAAACAATATCAAACACAGCATCATAACAATTAGTAATGTAAGCAAATTAATATGAAATGCATTTCAATATCCCAAATTTTATCCAAATATCAAACTATAACATAAGAATCCTAAAATGTGTCTAACTATATCCAACAATCCCAAACATAATAATTCAAAAAAGTATCTAAATGCTCAACAAAATAACCTATAAAACGAAACACAGAAAAATAAAATGAATGCCTTTGTGTGAAATGACAAATTATCATATCTTTGATGACCAAATATATCACTACTGAACCACGAACATCCACTAAAATAATATCATATGATTTTCAAACTACCTAATAATTTTACATTTCAAATTGCATAATAGTTTAAAAAAATGTTAATAAGAATGTACATGTTTGACCATCCAAATCTCAATTTCTCCTTTTAGTACCCAAAAAAAAAACAATGAAAGCATATACATTTAGATAAATTTCAGCAATATTCAATTTTATTTTTTTTCAAACAATCCATGTCCACTCACGAAAAAATAAATTTGTTCACATACTTTGTGATTACGTGAACAAAACACAAAATTTTATTGATCTAAAACTGCGAATCCCACACTCAATTGTCAGCAATTGCACCCATGATTGCAAAAATTTGACAATGTGAATTGCAAGGAGTAATCATGCCAACCAAAATAAATATTAAAAAAATAGTCACATAACAATAATCAAATTATTTACTTAAACATTGTCACAAATTCTTTCTTTGTATGAACAGTAGTACTATAACTTAATTCTCATTAAAACTTGATCATTTGAGGAAATTAAACTTTGTGAAACTGAGTTAACTTCCTTTCAAATTAAATTATATTTTTTAGTCTAGAATTAAAATGTGAATCATGCACTTTTGATATGTGGCAATCTGGATCATAGAACTTTTTACTGCTGATAATGGTAATAACATTATATTGAAATGAAAAAAAAAAAAAAATCATTACGTTGGATGTATCCTAGATGAATTTTTACAGATCAATTAATAATGTGATTATTTTATTGGTTGAACAGGTATATATGATAGAGGATGATATTTAATGCTTGTAGAATATATCAACACTAAAACAATTTGGGGAAAAAAAAAATAAAAATCTCTTTGAAACAGTAGTTCACATTTGTAACTTGTTTGAGCATTGGTGCTTTGAAATGAGGAATACAAAATATCATGAATGCAGAGTATTATGTTTTTCTCTCCTTTTCTTTGAAGCTTTTTGGGAGATGATGGCATTTATAGGTTTTTATTGCTTGGGCATTTCTACATGATTTGTCATGTGAGACCAATGAAGAAGAAGGCACCTAATGAAGAAGAAAGGCTTAAACTACAACCTGACAACATCAAATCAATGCATGAGGGGAAGAATTTCTTGAAGGAAAAAACAAGTGCAGAATTTAAGGTAAGCAATTTATGTTTTTATTGATACTATTTTATAAAGAGAACATTTGATTTGGTGTCCAAATTTAAAGGCTTTGCAGTATTACCTTAGGCCACTCCATAGAGCTTCCAAAACAACCTAATCCTAAAGATATGGAAGTGTAGAATGTGCAATGTCTACAGGTTTCAGCTTAGGTGAAATCCTGGGAAGCCAAGAAGAAAACAAACTAATAAGGTTGAGGTTTAAGAGCTCACAGTTATAGAAGCCTTGTTATGAACAATTAAATTTTCAGCACGTTTATTAGTACCATGTTGGCTACTATCTTGCATAACATAGCTTAAAACTTTCATTCAAGCATAGGCTGGACCTACCTGCAACTAATGCAACAAGTACACAACTTTCATTCAGGCATGGGCATGCCTTTCATTTATCCCCATCCCCCTAATACACTTCAAGTACACTTGGGTTGTTTCCTTTCTCTGCCTTTGACTGAATTTGTTTCTTATAATGGGCAGGGGGGAAGCAAAAGAACACAAACAAAAATATGTTAGTGGTAAAAGAGTCAATTATCCCTTGTAAACATAATTAGGTCCTAGTCATAGAAAAGCACTAAATTTAAGATGCAGATATTACTCAGCATTGCTAGGTAATCTTATTGCTTTTAGTTAGGGAAGCTATTCAACTCTTTGGTAATGTCTTTGGGTATTTAGGATATGTTTTGTTCTGTTTCTTTTATCATGCTTTTGGTTGTGTGAATGAAGTATGGCTCGGAGTGACTCTGTCAATTTTGCAGTTATGAATGCATATTTTCTGGATCTTTGGAGTTTTTAATTTGCCTATCATTTGAATAACACCCAGATGCCTGTTTTTGTTTTTGTTTTGTAAACTTAAATATATACATATATATACACACACACACATATATTTTAGGGGGGAAGTGCAATATTTCATGATTTTCAACAATCATGAATTTTCAAAAGAAGTACTAAATAATATATTTAGAAATGCTTTAAAAATGATCACAAAGCAAGGGACATAGACATTTCAGAAAATGTTCACTTAAAGAGTACATCAGATCAAAATACAAAATGAGGGCATTGATATACATATTTTATTCTAAACCTAATTCAATCAAATACCTATAAAACTTACTTCGATTTCACATCAGTAGTTGAATACTTTATCGATAGTTGCATTTCGAACAACAAAATCACATGGATATCAAAAACAGATAGAAGAAAACCAGATTAATAATAAAATAAAATAAAAACAGGGGAAGTGAGATACAAAGCAAAAAAGGAACAAACCTATAGGAGCAGACTGAAGCATCGATGGTCTCGCACAGCAGTAGCAAACGGCGACAACCTGACGATCAACAAACGTCTATGCTGTGTGCGATTATGAGGGGGAGAGAACTACGAATTGTGAGAGAAGGCTGTACAAGAGTGAAATCAGGGAGAGTGATAAGGGGCTTACCTATCCTGGGAAAACAAAGAGGGAATTTTGAGAGGAACATTCACCGCCTCAACAATTTCTAGAGGCAAATCACCAAAACAAAAAATAATAAAAACAATTTTTAGATTTTTTTTTTCTTTGAAACTAATTTAAGAACAATAAAAATCAAAAATATATTTTTAAAATTTTAAAAATTATTTATGACATCTTAAAAGATAAAATTATATAAAAATAATAAGTATTTTTTTTATTTTTTCACCAAATTTTTTTAGTTTTTTAGAAAAAAATTCTGAAACAAGTTTTTAAAAATAAAACCAAACATATTGAAATTGATAATCTAATTCTTCGGAAAAGTTTAGATTATCTTGAATTAGCCATCTCAACTTAGAAGTGTGTTTGGATTTAGTGGGTTCATTTTATGATCTAATTTGATGATCGCTTTAATTTTACAATTCAATTACTAGAATATTAAAACTCTTTGAAAATTTATAATAAAAACATTAATCACTAAATCACCTCATTTCACTAGTAAAACTTTTACCGACGAATAGTATTATCATTGCTAAATGGTTAAGGCTGTGTTTGGTTATATTATAAAATCATGATTCAATAGCATCACTCACGTATGATGTTTGGTAGGTGTTTTGTAATCACCTTTCAAAAACTCTGCAGAGCGCTCTGTCTCAGCTGCTGTTTTCAGAATTTTTTTTTTGAAAATTTTACCTGACGGATCGTCCGACCGGTTGATCGAAATAGTAATTATTTTATTTTTTTTTGCAATTTGTATGTTAATTTTTATATAATTGAAAAAAATATTTTCTGAATTTTTTATGTGCTTTAAAATAATTTTGAGTTGTATGTTTAGTTATAAGTTGTAAATTTTTGTATCAAATATCAAATGTCACATCAATAATTCTCCACTCAAATCAAAACTCTTTTCAAAACTCTTTACCAAACAAAATTTCTACACTCAAATCATAATTCCAAACCCCACAAACCCAAAATACAACTCATACTCTCAAAGCATAATTACAAAACACAACCAAACGCAACCTAAATCTTTGCCCATGCTAACTTGACGTCGCCAAAAGTAAGCATACTAATAGCAACGCTTATTGTGTTGCTAAAAAATAAGCCTCGTAACTAAAAATTTTGTAATTTTGACGAGTACTGAATGTTATACTTTTTTAGCGACGGTAGTAAATTGCGTCGGTAAAGGTTTACTTTTACCAACGAAATTCGTTACTGTGTCGCCAAAAATATACTTTTGGCTATGAAAAATTGACGTCGTCACTAAAAATAGTCACGAAAAATGCAATTTCTTGTAGTGCATAGCGTATGAGAGAAGTTGAAAATGGTGTAGGCGTAGGTATGAGAGAAGTCAAAAAGGTTTGTAGGTTGGGAGAAGTCAACAAATGCTCAGGTTTTTTTGTTTTTAAATCAAAAATTTTAAAAATTAAGATTGGTTTATAAAAATAATTTAACAATCCCATTAATAACCATAGTGTATAAGAGAAGTTGAAAATGGTGTAATTTTGCTTGAATGAAAGCTATAGAGGATTTTTTTAATTATTTAAAATCAAAAAATTAGAAATTTTAGTTTGAGATATTGAAGCTACCACAAGACTTGTGGTTATAAACCCCATTTTACTTATATATATACTAGCATATCACCCGTGCTATGCACGGATTGTATTTACAATTATCTATATATGTGAATTGTGATTTTTAAGTGTCTTTTTCTTAAATGTCTTATTTTTTTTCTTTTTTATATTATATTAAAGTTTAATATTTTGATAATAATCATATGTGTTAGACTTTTTAAGGAATTAAATGTCTTTTTTTATTATATTATATTAAAATTTAATATTTTGATAATAATCATTTTTTTTAATATATAAATTATGTTTTTTAAGATTTTTTTATAAAAATAATTTAATAATCTTATCACTAACCATAGTGTACAGAAGAAATTAAAAAGGTTACTGCAGTAACTATGCACAGGCTATATCTATAATTATTTGTATGAGGGGATTTTAAATGCTAATCAGGAATTTTGACCAAATCAATAAATGCAGGCATATGAATTGAAAAAAGTTAATAAATGCTGATCAGGGGATTTTGATCAAATCAATAAATGCTGAGGTTTTTTTTTTTAAAATCAAAAATTTAGAAAATTAAAATTGAGAGATTGGAGCTCTCACAAGACTTAGGGTTTAGAAACCCCATTTTTCTTAATATATTTACAATTTTCTATATATGTGAATTGCGATTTTTAAATGTCTTTTTTTTTTTTTAAATGTCTTCATTTTTTTCCTTTTTTATATTATATTAAAGTTTAATGTTTTGATAATAATCATATGTGTTGGACTTTTTAAGGAATTAAATGTCTTCTTTTTTTTATTATATTATATTAAAGTTTAATATTTTGATAATAATCATATGTGTTGGACTCTTCAAGAAATTTTTTTTTCTGCTTGTTTTTAATGCATTAAAGTGTTATTATAAGGGATAATAATTATATGTGTTGGGACTTTTCAAGGAATTCATATGTGTTGGATTTTAAAGAATTTTTTTTTTATGCTTGTTCTTAATGCATTAAAGTGTTATCATGAGTGTAAGACTTGGAAGTTGGGAGAAGTTAATAAATGTTAATGTTTTTTTTTTTTAAATCAAAAAATTAAAAAATTTAGATTGAGAGATTGGAGCTCCCACAAGGCTTGGGGTTAAAAACCCTCTTTGGCTTAATATATAGTATAGACTAGTCCATCACTCGTGCTATGCACGGGATAATTATAAATATTTATATTTGTTTTAGATTTTTTTAATATATAAATTATGTTTTTTAAGATTTTTTATAAAAATAATTTAACAATTTGATCGCTAACCATAATATACATGAGAAGTTGAAAAGGGTACTTCAGTAACTATACACAAATTGTATCTATAATTATTTGTATGAGGTGGTTTTAAATGCTGATCAGGAGATTTTGGCCAAATCAATAAATGCAGGCATGTGGAAAAACATGTGGATTGAAAAAAGTTAATAAATGCTGATCAGGAGATTTTGACCAAATCAATAAATGCTGAGTTTTTTTTTAAATAAAAAATAAAAAATTTAGAAAATTCAGATTGGAATATTGAAACTCCCACAGGCCTTGGGGGTTAAAAACCCCCTTTTGCTTAACACGGAACTAGCCGATCACCTGTGCTATGCACGGGATAATTATAGATATTTATATTTGTTTTAATTTTTTTTAATATATAAATTATGTTTTTTAAGTCTTTTATAAAAATAATTTAACAATCTTATCACTAATCATAGTGTACAGGAGAAATTAAAAAGGCTATTGCAGTAACTCTACACGGGCTGTATCTATAATTATTTGTATGAGGGAATTTTACATGCTAATCAGGGATTTTGACTAAATCAATAAATGCAGCCATGCTGATTGAAAAAAGTTAATAGATGCTGATTAGGGAATTTTGACCAAATCAATAAATGCTGAGTTTTTTTTTTTTAAATTAAAAATTTAGAAAATTAAGTTTGAGAGATTAGAGCTCCCACAAAGCTTGGGTTTAGAAACCCCTTTTTTCTTAATATATTTACAATTATCTATATATGTGAATTGTAATTTTTAAATGTCTTTTTTTTTTTTTAAATGTCTTCTTTTTTTCCTTTTTTATATTATATTAAAATTTAATATTTTGATAATAATCATATGTGTTGGATTTTTCAAGAAATTTTTTTTATGCTTGTTCTTAATACATTAAAGTGTTATTATGATGGATAAGAATCATAAGTGTTAGGACTTTTTAAGGAATTCATATGTGCTGGATTTCAAAGAATTTTTTTTATGCTTGTTCTTAATGCATTAAAGTGTTAGTATGAGAGTAAGACTTGGGGGTTGGGAGAAGTTAATAAATGCTAAGATTTTTTTTTTAAATCAAAAAATCAAGAAATTTAAATTGGGAGATTGGAGCTTCCACAAGGCTTGGGGTTAAAAACTCTCTTTTGCTTAATATATAGTATAGATATAGATAGATAGATAGATATATCTTTTAATTTTTATTTTTATTTTGTGTGGTTTCTATTCGGGTATTTTTTTTTTTCAATTTATTTAAGATGGAGTTGTGGGTATCTTTTTTTTTTTAATTTAATTTATCAGTGGTTTCCATTTGTTTTTAATTATTATTATTTAGGTAAATTATGATGTGAGTTAGATATGTGATAGATATGTGAGTTTTATGTATTTAAATTTTATTTAGATAAACTTTAAAGATTTTTTTTTTAGTTTTTTAGTTTTTTTTTTGTTATGTTATAATATAATATATAAAATATAGGTAGATATCTACAACTTTAATAAAAAATATTATCTGATTTTTTGGGGAAGAGAAAAGGAATGCAAGTTTTAATATTTTTTTTTTGAAAATTTGTGAGAGAGATTAGGAGGGAGAGATTATGAAATATTTTTGTTATTAAATAAATAAATCAGTCAATAGTTTTTTTTAATCTATTTTGTAAATTAAAAATCAATAATTTTAAAAAATTGATTAATTTGTCCCATTAAGTGATTTAAAATTTTGATAGACATACATAAAAAAAATACATAATTATATTATTAAATCATAATTCAAATTTAGATGTTATATCTTTTTGAGATCTATAGGTAAATTCTTATCTTTTTTATTTTTTATTTTTGTATGTAACCATAGTGTATTGGAGAAATTGAAATGGGTGTTGCAAAAATTATGAGAGAAGTCAAAAGGGATTATAGGTTGGGAGAAGTCAATAAATGCTGAGATTGGGTTGGGAGAAGTCAATAAATGCTGAGTTTTTTTTTTTTCAAAAAATTAGAAAATTAAGATTGGGATATTGGAACTCCTACAAGCCTTGGGGGTTAAAACCCCATTTTGCTTAATATATAGTATAGATAGCCTATCACCTGTTCTATGCACGGGATAATTATAAATATTTATATTTGTTTTAGATTTTTTTTAATATATAAATTATGTTTTTTAAGATTTTTTATAAAAATAATTTAACAATCTTATCACTAAGCATAGTGTATAAGAGAAGTTAAAAAGGGTATTGCAGTAA